CGGACGGCTACGCTACGCTAATACTGTAACGACCAGACCTACGGAACTGCGCTGCGCTGTGCCACACTGCTTGAGGGGATTCACTCGAGGCCAGGAAACTGGATAAACGTTTTGCGATTTGAGGAGGATGGCTTGGTTTGGTCGAATGTTCCTAGGTTGAGTTGGGTTTTGTGCGGTGTATACTACTCATTTAGACAAGCACGTAACATACACAAGTTGGTGGGCTGGGCAAAGTGTTGTGGGACTTTCCACAAGGGTCTCCATAAGGAAACGTTCACAAACGAGTACAAAACAGCATTTGCAGCTGTTTGACTGGGTAGCAAGTGTCCAAAATACGAAGTGAGGATTTTTACTGAGGCGCGACGAGTTTCGACGCTGCGGCGTGTTAGATCGCCTTCCTGCGAACTTGGGACAGGACAGCCCCCAAAAGTGCACCGCACTGGTTCCAGCGTGGCAGATCAAAAGATTCCCCTACGTGCTCAAACGCTGGGTATTTTTCAACGGCTTTCAACCTATGTCAGTGCAATTTTGCGAATGCATACAGCTGACTCAATCCTCAACAAGGGTAACCGCATGGTTACCCGACGGTTTGACATTTTTCCTCCAATAGTTTCGTTGTATGCATTCGTAACCAATTCCTCACAAAATCTGCATGCACTTGGGATTGACCGCGTTGGGGGGCTCAACCCACGTGCGACGTCCTCATTCGTCCCCCGCCACCTCATCACAAACCCAAATGCCTCCACACGTGCCGAGTGCACTTTTCGCTGTCCCCACTTCATTGTCCCGACACTCCAGGAAGGCGATCTTGGCCCGGCATTTCCTGAAAGAGTGTTTAGTCGGCCGTTCGAAGGTGACGGTCCTCTGTCGAACCCTCGTCCCTTTTTCGAACCTCCAACTTCGTTAGCGTCGCCGTGCCCATGAACAGCATTTCCGCCCCGCCCGCGATTCCCGCTGCCCTGGCGAGTCGCGACGAGGTGCTTGCCAGCGTGGCTCCCGCTGTGGGGAGGCGCGCTGCTGACGTGTGGCAGGGCGGGAAACTGTCCGACGTGTCGTTTCGCGACGAAGGATGGACCACGGGCGGGGCGAAATGCTTAGGTATGTAACGAACGTTTGCAAAGGTCGTCGATGGCGAGGTGACGTAAGGTGACGTAGGGTGACGTAGGGTGGCACGCTGCAGCACCCTTCTTTCTTAGAGTCTCACAACCCTTCCGCTTCCCCCGTGGACTTCGTCGGTTGTTTTTGAGACTCGTTATAATCCGTGCCCGTTATCATCCCCTCTCTCTATTATCACAGGGTCGAATCCAGGAGAAGCCTACACTGTTGGCTTCGATATACTCACAGGCGCAGCAGCAGCAGGAGCCGCAGGGACAGGAGAGGCAGCAGGTAGCAGCAGGGCAAGGCCAGGAGGGAGAGCGCGCGGACGAGCAATGGCAGGAGAGGGAGCAGGGGGAGGAGGTGGAGGGGTGCCACGTGTGAAGGTGGAAGGGAAATGCACGTGCCCAGCACACGCCCGGTGAGGCAACCACACGCTTCCTGCTCTCCTCGCCCTTCCTCTCGTTCTGCTCTCCATGTCATGGCCTCAGAATGGTCAACGATTATGAGACAATCTCGTGAGCATCTTCCCCTCTCGCCCCGCACATCCTTCCAGCGCGTGGTGGAGCATCTTCCCCTCTCGCCCCGCACATCCTTCCAGCGCGTGGTGGAGCATCTTCCCCTCTCGCCCCGCACATCCTTCCAGCGCGTGGTGGAGCATCTTCCCCTCTCGCCCCGCACATCCTTCCAGCGCGTGGTGGAGCATCTTCCCCTCTCGCCCCGCACATCCTTCCAGCGCGTGGTGGAGCATCTTCCCCTCTCGCCCCGCACATCCTTCCAGCGCGTGGTGGAGCATCTTCCCCTCTCGCCCCGCACATCCTTCCAGCGCGTGGTGGAGCATCTTCCCCTCTCGCCCCGCACATCCTTCCAGCGCGTGGTGGAGCATCTTCCCCTCTCGCCCCGCACATCCTTCCAGCGCGTGGTGGAGCATCTTCCCCTCTCGCCCCGCACATCCTTCCAGCGCGTGGTGGAGCATCTTCCCCTCTCGCCCCGCACATCCTTCCAGCACGTGGTGGAGCATCTTCCCCTCTCGCCCCGCACATCCTTCCTGCTCTCTCTCTCTCACCCCATCCTCCTCCCCGTTCCCTCCCACTTCTCCACCTCTCCCCTGTTCTCCCCTCCTCTCCCCTCGTCCTCTTACCCCTTCGTCTCCGCCCCCCACTGCGTTCACAATGGCAGCTCGGCCAATGGAGTGTGCAAGCACGTAGCAGCGCTTCTCATCGAGCGCGCAACTCAGGTGGGCAATAGATTGACCAGCTCAGGCCCAGGAGCTTCAGAACAATTCAACTGCACTCTGTCTGAGGCATCTAATGCTCCCTGCCACACCGCCATGTCGTGCCGTGCCATGCCACGCCATACCATGATATGTCATGCTTTCCAAGTAGTGCTTGTCCTTCCCCTGTAGTCCATTCCCCTACTTTCTATTTCCAAACTGACTGTTGCGACCTGTAGGACACACAAAGCCATGCTTCTTTGACCTGTAGGACCTGATTTTGTGATTTCATGACTCCTGTTCTCCTTTCATCCCTATTTGCCTCCTTTCTTCTGAGACGTCTCAAAAGTTGTCTCATTTCATGACTCGTGCTCTTCCTTCATCCCTATTTGCCTCCTTTCTATTTCCAAACCGACTGGTGCGACCTGTAGGACACACAAAGCCATGCTTCTTGTCTGATTTCATGCCTCCTATTCTCCTTCTGATACGTCTCAAAAGTTCTCTCATTTCGTGGAAATCACTTTTGAGAATTCTCAAAAGTGATTTCCATCTTGTCTGATTTCATGACTCCTGTTCTCTTTCTGAGTCGTCTCAAAACACAGTTGTCTCATTTCATGACTACTGTTCTTCCCTTGAGACGTCTCAAAACACAGTTCTCTCATTTCATGACTCCTGTTCTTCCCTTGTCCCTATTTCCCTCCTTTCCCGTCTCCCCGTGTTTCCCTTGTTTTCCCCCTTTCTCCTCTTCCCCTCTCTTAGCTGTCCTCCTTGCCGTCCATTTCAAGTGCAAGGGTGCCAGCCAGCACAGGCGCCACGTCACTTCACGCTGCTGACACGTCAGCTCGTGCTGCTGACACATCAGCCCCTGGGCGTGACACGTCAGCACGTGCACCTGTTAGCGTTCCCAGGCCTTCAGTAACTGCAGGCTCGGATTCAAAAAGGAATATGTTGCCCGAGCCTCAGGCAGGCTTGGTAGCTGCCGAGCAGCGTTTTCCCGAACCTGTTAATGGGCTTTCCAAGCCTGTAGGTTTGGAATCGGGAAGAGTGGAGGCTGGGGAAAGAGGAGGCGGAGAGGGCGGTGGGGGGATAGGGAAGGGGGAAGGGAAGACAGGGGAAGGGGATGATAAGAGTAGAGGTAAGGAGGGCTTGTGGAAAGGAATGGGTTTAGTGCGGTGTGGAGGGACGGAAGGAGGTGTAACAAGGAAGAGAGGGAGAGTATTACCTGCTTGGATGCTGGTGGTAAAGGATGGGGGGAAGGGGGATGAGAGGGAGGAGAAGGGGACGAAGGGGGACGAGGGGAAGGGGAAGGGTGAGAAGAAGGTTGGGGGAAAGAAGGAGAAAGGGGGTTTAGATGGGGGGAAGAAAGCTGGGACGAAGAGAGGAGGTGAAGGGAAAAGAGGAGGGAGTGTGAAGCGAGTGAGGAGGGAGAGGAGGAGAACGATGGGGTTTAAGTTGGGAGATGAATTCAGTGAGGATGAGGAGGAGGAGGAGGAGGAGGAGGGGGGGGGGTGGAGGAGGAGGAGAAAGAGAGAGAGGGTGGAGAGGAGGTGGAGGGGGATGGGGAGAAGGGAGAGGCAGAAGAAGGAAAGGAGGGAAACATGGGGGCTGAAAGGGAGGTGAGAGATGGGGAGGAGGTCTTGAGAGGGGGAGAGGAGAGAGGGAGAGGAAAAGGAGGAAACCGCAGGAGGGGGAACGAAAAAAGAGAGGAGGATAAAGGGGAGGGAATGGGGGGCAAGGGGGGACGCAAGGTAGGGAAGGGCAGGAGCAGGAGGGGATATGTAAGCACGAGTTGCGAGGAGGAGGAGGGGAATCAGGAGGAATCAGGGGAGCGTTATGAGCGTGGCCATGACGTTGCTGACGTGGCAACGGATGCTGCTGCTGACGTGGATTTCACAGATGATGATCTGTTGATGCTAGCAGCACAGGTGGGTTCTCTTGCTGACTGTTCACGTTCTCGCCCTCCTATTCCGTTTCCTTTTCCTCTCATCCCTTCCCTCGCTCGCATCCCTTTCCTCGCTCGCATCCCTTCCCTCGCTCGCATCCCTTTCCTCGCTCGCATCCCTTCCCTCGCTCCCGCCGCTTTCCTCTCTTGCCCTTTTTTTCCCCTTTCCCCCCGTTCCCCACGTTTCTGTCTCAGCACCTTCTCTCCCTCTCGCCATTCCCCTCTCCCTTTTCTCCCTGCCTGTGTTTTTTGAGAATTCTCAAAAAACACACGCTCCCTTTTCTCCCTGCCTCTCTTCCTCCTCCTTTCCATTGAGGCCCCATCTCCCTCTCACCTCCTCTCCCATCCCCCTCTAACATCCCTCTCACCTCCTCTCCCATCCCCCTCTAACATCCCTCTCACCTCCTCTCCCTTGCCCCCTCTAATATTCCTCCCATTGTCCCCCTGTGCCTTGCACCACAGCACGCCAAACCCCACACGCCCTTAGAAAGCGACGAGGTGCAAACACCAGCAGCAGTGCAGCCCGCTGCAGCACCTGCAGCAGTGGCAGCAGCAGCAGCAGCAGCAGCAGTGCCAGTGGAAACAGCAGCAGCAGCAGAATCAGCCAAGGCAGCAGTAGCAGCAGCACCACGAGCAGCAGAAACAGCAGCGCCAGCGCCAGCATCACCAGAGCAGTCGTCGCCACCGTTTTGGCAGCACTTCTTCGATCCCCTTCCCAAGACAGCAGCAGCACCGCCACCACCACGAGCAGCAGCAGCAGCAGAAACAGCAAAGCCAGCGCCAGCGCCATCATCGCCAGAGAAGTCGTCACCACCGTTGTGGCAGCACTTGTTCGATCCCCTTCCCAAGACTCAAGTCCCGCTAACTGTCACTCACCCCAACCAGGATAAACAGCAGCCCTCTAACCAGCAGCCTAGCCAGACGCCAAGCCTGCAGCAACCAAGCCAGCAGCAAGCAAGCCAGCAGCAAGCAAGCCAGCAGCAGCCAAGCCAGCAGCCATTTCTAAGTCAGCACGACAGTGTGTTTTCCAGCAGACGGTGGCAGGCAGCAAGTGAGGAGGCAGAGCGAGGGCCCAGCAGCAATGTTATTAACAGCAGCGGCGTGAGCAGCAGCCAGGCTGCTGTGGGACTAATGGATTTCTTTGCCGGCCTCAAGGCCAGCCAGCAGAGTCATAGACGTGTGGGCGATGGTGCTGCTGAATGAGTCTCAGCTGCGTTTCAGCTCGAGAGAATGTTTTTGCTTCAAATGGAGTTGTATGAAGGCTTATGTGCTTAGGCTTTCAGTGTTAATGAGTAAAGCTGGCATTCAAGTTGCGGCTGTCGAACATTGTGTTGTGAAAAGCAAGATCGGTTCGGTACGATACCGAGCCCAGTACCCAGTGCATTTCCCTACAAGTAAGACAGGTCCAGATAAGCACATACCGTATTCCCCCGGATAAAACACCTGGGGGTATTATGATAAATACCGGGAAAAAATGGGGGGGGTCTCCTCAACGGAAAGTCCTACATAATACCCGGGTCTTATTATATAGTACATACTTTTTTAAAGCAGAATCGATGTGTTTCAAAATGTGGTGTGTGACTTCACTTCTTGTTTGTTAAACAGTGCCGCAAAACCGAGTATACGAGGATAACGTGACCGCCCACTGGACTCTGCCACATGGCAACTTCCAGTGGGCTAACTATGGACCCTGATTGGCTGGAAACAGAGCCAGCCATGCATAGCGAGAGTTCATGCAACTCCCGAGGCCGGAATCGCGCACGAAGCTGCGTTGTCACTGTACCAGTCAAGACGCGACTGGTTTGGTCACGTCCCTGTCCCTCAAAGGGCTGCTCATCAGTGGTAGATTGTACCTCTAACTGTGTGAAATGTGACCTAAAATTGCACTTTTGCCGCACATAACACCCACCCCCCGGGTCTTATATAGGTGTCAGAATGAAGAATGGATGGTGCATTGATGTTGGTTGGGGTACATATAGCTAACCCTAAGTTTTGTACCCCCTAAGACAAACCTCACTATAGGCTACAACATTTGACACACCCCCATAGCCTAAGTGAGGGGTGTCTAGCAGAACCAAACGAGTACGGTCACAAGACCAGTCCAAGAAACAAAGCTCAGGGTGGATCACAACGTCACCACACAGTCTGAGCACAAACAACAGTGGCCACAAGGCCAGTCCAAGAAGTAACAGAGATATATAGAAAGCAAAGTAAACAGTACACTCAAGTCTAAGCAACACGAGAACCAGTGTCAACAAGGCCTAACTGCACACAGCACCTCTGGTGGTCACAAGGCGGAAGCGCCTTGGTGAAGATGTCTGCAGTGTTGGCCTCGGACTCCACAAACTCAAAGCGAGCCTGTCCACGCCTCTGCAACTCTCGCAGAAGAAAGTACCTGACGTGAATGTGCTTCACTCTGCTCTCCAGTCGTGGCTCTCGACAAAGGAGAATAGACGCCTTGTTGTCAGTGAACAAGGTCGGTGCAGAGCTCGGCCGCTCACCAAGGTCGGTGAGCAAGAAGGTCAACCAACGCAGCTCCTGTGCCGCCATGGCACCAGCGTAGATCTCAGCCTCAGCTGTAGAGGTCGAGACCGAAGAGGAGCGCGTGGACCGCCAGGAAACAGCTCCAGAACCCAGGCTGAAACAGTACCCCTGAGTAGACCTGTGAGTCTCAGCGTCGTCAGCGTAAGAGGAGTCACAGTGACCAGTAAGTACGACAGACTGCTGTCCTCCAAGAACTAGCCCCACGCCTGATGTCGTCGCTAGGTACTTCGCCACCCTCACAGCTGCTGTCCAGTGAACAGGACGGTGTCTCCCTGGCGCAACAAAGCGCGCAAGAACGCTGAGAGGGAAGGCGAGGTCCGGGCGAGTACAAGTCATCAGGTACATGAGGCAACCCACAAGCTCTGCGTAGGGACCACTAGGCTCGAACGGCTCGTCAGGAAAGGGTCCAGTGAGTCTGTGGTCAACAGCAAGAGGTGTGCGCTGTACTGTGGAGTGCTGAAGCCCGAACCGCTGAAGGACCTGCTGCACCATGTGTGACTGTGAAAGTGTAATGGTGCGAGCAGCTCTGTCCCTGGTGATCTGCAGGCCAAGGTAGTGGCGCAGCTCACCAAGATCAGTGCAGGTGTGTCTCTTCTGCAGTTCGGACTTCACGTGTGCCAAAGCAACCCTGTCAGGGGTGGCGAAAACAAGGTCGTCAACGTAGACCAGAACAAAGAAAGGTGTGGTGCCACGACGAACGAACAGC